ATCGCGTTTAGTACGAAAAGGAAATAAATATCTTGGTTAGGGATGGTTCATAGCATTTTGATGTTGTCTTAAAAAATTACTACCCAACTAAAATTCGTATCATTTCATGTCTTTTTTTTTAAGTTTTTTGCATCGGCATTATTTTTCATTTTCCTACGTGTTGTGAGAGGAGAAAAGCAAAGAAAACAGTGTGTGAAGATTTTTAAACGATTTTAAACAAACAGGTAGTATTGACTTATTGGCCTTATTATGTCAGTATTACAACATAATGGGATCTAAAGAATTTATTAGTTCTTAATTAGTATAGTATGAAACTATATGCTATATATAGTATACATGTATTTGGCGGTGTGGTCTAAGGCAGCTAATCCAGAGACAAGTTGTAATTTTAGTCGGGTCGTTTATGATAATCCTAATCAATTGTAACTTTTTTTGTTCCTTTAATTTCCACTGGCACGCATCAGTCATCACCTGCATTCCTTGCAAAAGATTTCTCGTAAAATCGTTCGGAATACCTTCCCATTCATCTAGAACCACTGTTTCCAACTCTTCTAAGACCTGGGTTTCGCCGTCGTACTCGTATAGTTTGTCCCAAATGTTTTCGATTGGGTTAAAACTGGACATCGAACTGGCCACATCAACCATTCATTCCAACCTCATTCAGCTAATCATCCACAATACGTGTTCTATCGAGCTTAGCATCATCCTGCATTAGCAAGAATCTCTCATCGATGTGGGGGGCAAATGGCACTACGTGTTCTTCGATTATGTCTCGTAAGCACCTCTGTGAGCTAGAGATCTTCCTCGCACAACAACCAATTCGATGCGAGCTCCCAACGAAATGCCACCCCAGAACATCAATGACCCACCATTGAAAGCCAACTGAAGAACCATACAGCATGGGGCGTACCTTACTCCAGAATTTTTCCATACGAAGTTACGTCCATCCGTAGATTTGAAGCCAACTCTCATCTCAACTATAAAGAGAACTCGTCCCCAATATTCCAATGTCCAATTCTTAAGTTCCCGTGCGAACTGAAGGCTGGCATTTTCTAGCTATGGTAGGAAGACGTCGTGACGGGCCTGGAGGTTATTTTTATTGAGCCTTCTGCTTACAGTCCTGGCTTAAATCGAAACATTTCGAACTTGGCTTATCAGATTTCTTATCTCATGTCCCGTAATGATGCAGTTTCGTAGATGGATGGATCTATCGTCACTCATCGACGAACGAAAGAAAAAGATTAACTGAAAGCGATAAAGCGACTTTAGGCGTTGCAGAATGGAAGGGCATAATGCCACTTTTGTGCAAATAGGATTAATCAATACAAAAATAAGCAAAGAAAGTAAACAAAGCATTATTTACTGTTTATTTTGACTCCGATAGCTCCTAATTTCCTGTAACTAATGTAGAAAGATAATGGATTTCACTTTAAACCAAATAAATTGAGTGGTGCGTTAAATTTGTCCAACAGTATATTATAAGCTGCAGGTTCATGTTTGCTGGAAGATGAACCAGAATCGAGAAGACATCTCACAACTTTGTTTTATTAACTTATGAATACCCAGAAAGATAAGTTAGACAAAAGTGCATTACCATAATGAACGAATTAAGAATGCATGATGTGGAAGTTTATGTTTAGAGCAAAAAACATAAGATGTTTCAACAATCTACAATTTATACAAATCCGAAGAATGAAGAGTGCCACCAAAAAAATGCACAACTGGTGTTTTTTCTATGCTTGATATCATATTCTACCAAACCATTTACCGCTAAATCATCGTAAACTAGGAACATTTGTTTTTCGATTTTCATTTTAATACGGCGGGAAAATTTGCTCTGAACATGACAATTATCAGAAAACTTTTGTCTGTAAAATGTAACAAGGGTTGATTTGATTTCAGCACAATGTTTGACTCACTCATTATGTATGTGCCATGTAGTTGTAGACAGACACTACCAACACACAGCAAACATACATTTGTGGTATTTACAGAGTTTTTATTTTTTAATTTATTTATTAACTGAGTTTAATTGGTTGGGGTACTTTGGTTCAAATAGTCAGACTTCGCCCTGTTTCTTAATTTGTTTTTATATTTTAAACCTTCGTATTTCAGCATTTTGGTAGAGGTGCGACGTTGGACCAGGAATTTGTTAAAAATCCAATAATCGCATCAGAAAACGTCCGTTCTGTGACATTGAAGGATACGACGTTTTCGATACCTTTTTTAAAAGAAACCACCAAAAATACCAGGCCTAAAATTATTTATAACGTACAAATAGTCGCAAATCCCTATCACTAGTTTCTTTGTTATTACGGTCGAAATGATTTTCATTTTTTACTTGTTTGCAAGATAAAATTAACAAAGATTAGGTCTATAAGCGGCAAATAATTAATGACAACGTATTATAAATTATTTGCCGCTTGTAGATCTAAACACTAACTTTTTTGTGTTTAGTTCAAGAAAAGCAGCAACCCACACTGAAAAATTGTACAACCACAAAAGAAAATAAGAAGAAAATTGCAATTATTTTAACTAAGCATATGTAACCAGACAGGGTTCTACGGGGTTTTAGTTAAAGTTATTGAACACGTAGTTTTCTAAAAATCGACAATAAACCAAATTTCAGGAAAAATTAATTAAATTGATTTTGCCTCGATTTCTTTTTTATTGTCTTCGAGCAACACGCCTAGCATTTAATGCGGCTATTGTTATCACCAATGTGTGGTGATTAGTGACCGTTAATCGATTTCTAAATAAATAGTTATCACCAATTGTTTAATAAGCAATAAATAAAACGGAAGTGACAAAGTCGAAGTTCATTTTTTTTCTGCATGTTTATAATCTTCTTTCGAAGAATAACCTCATTTAATTGACTTAAATAAATAAATAATAATATGTGTGTGTTATAATATATGGAAATAATAATAAACCATATACAAACTAAGAAATGTGTTTTTTTAGAAACTTTTGAACTAAATCCTTATTTGCTTTCAAATATTTGATGGAATTGTGCGTCAGGAGACATAAAATATTTCTTTGCACTAACCTAATAGAGGGACATTCCTATGGAATATTTCTCGTGAAACCATGAGATATTTCCCAGTCTCGAATAAAAGCTCATTTAAATATTTGTTATCAGTAGAAATCCTATCATCATGAAGAAATCATGCTTTGATTGCAATTAAAATTAACTTCTTGACAAAAAATATTACTCACAAACTGTATCACATTCCCTGGCAATGCTGGGACTGAGTCGGTCTTCAAAGAAATTTGAAATCGCATGTGAAAAACTTAATTCTGTCAATTTTTAGACATATTTGAGTTTGTTTTGCCCTGGTGATGGCCTTAAAATAGGACGAAAGCTTGGCAGTATCAACTTAGTTTGCTTTCTCATCAAGACCAACCCATGATCCAGAGTACTGGTTGAGACATTTAATACTCAAAAATGAATACTGAAATAAATAAATAATAAATTCTAAAACAGTTATCCTATCCCAAACTCATATCTACGTGACATAACACACACACAATTTTTTATTGAATTTAAATAAATTTACAATAACTGCGATGAATTTGTCTTCGTGTAAAAAAACATTTTTTTGCGTTTTGCCGAATCCACACGTAATGGCATGAAATCTTGTAAACCCAAAATGTAATATCCCCCATGGTTCAAAATATTCGCATATAAACGAGTTGTCTCGTTATCCCCAGTAGATCGAATGCTCAATGATTGTATTTTATATTTTATTCCTTTGTTATGAAATAAAATTATAAAGGAAGGGATAAATACGAAATGTGGAGGTGTTTGTATATGGAAAGTATATAGCAATTGTTGGTTTGCTAAGCACGTGAGTTTAGAAATAAATTCACCACCGTTAAAAAGCCAATCAGAGTAGTCCACCGTTCTGTCATGCTAAACATGATAAACATCTCAGTAACTGTAGTTTAATTTAAAATGTTTAAGTAAATAAAAAAATGAAAGTAAATTGTAATATTAAACATGGGCTCCATACAGAGAGTGTAGGAATGCCATCCAATTTGAGAATTGTGCTTCAGCACGGTAGCAAGTATTTGGGTCTCCTGTTCCCATTCTTGGAGGAAACGGGGTTGTTCTATTGTATACAGTAAAAATAGTTGTGTATACCTAACTTGTGTTGGGAGTAAATGTATTTATTAGCTTGAATGTATTTATTAGCGTTAATGGGTGATGTGAGAGAGCTATGGCGGAATATTGAGTACTCAATCGGCCCTCAATTAAGTTAGTTGTATATCGTTAGTATATTAGTTGTATACAGTTGTATGTGTAAAGAGTGATGTGGAGACATACCGAGTACTCCACCACCCTAATTGAATGAGTGGTGTATAAATAGGATAGAATATATGTAAGAATGAATGTGTGTACGAATGGGTTTGGAATAGCACGCGTTGGGGGCTGAATTGACCTAGCAGTTGACAGCACCCTTCGGTGGTTGGAAGGATAAGACTGAGTTCGGCCCCCGGACTGCCAACACCCGAGTTGGGTGATTAAAAAAAATTAGACAATAAATACAACATATCAAATGCTCTGACCATGTGAAATCCTCCTTTGCATAAAATGCTTGGGTCTCACGAATTTTTAAATAAAATCCTTTTTTTGAAAGGATACCCTGTATATATGTATATATTGGCGTGAATGGAAGGTGATCGGCGAGGTGATGGACCCAGGGTGGGTTTCAGAGGTCCACCTCTACTCTATAGTTTAGGTTAATATTTTTAGTAGAATGAATGTGTATTTTGTATGTGTATGTTTGTAAATATACTTAAATTTTAACCCACTTCATGTGGTAGTGTTAAAGTAAAGTATAATAAACAGGACAGAAGAGAAATTTTAAGATGTTGAAATTGATTGACGAACAAGTCGTAAAAATAATGCGAGATGGACGAAATACGTGAGGAACCGGCAATGACCATAGTAGTTAACCGATGGGAAAAAAATAAAATAAAATAATCCCTCTTACCTATACCGTTGATGGGTTTAATGTCCTGCGGACTTGGCGTGTGCGGGGATGGTGGTTTATCTTTTCCTTTAGCATCCACCGTTTTAACTTCGCCGGCCGACGTGACGCTGCCCGGACCGGACGACTTCTGCTGGGCGATCCTTTCTTGTTTTCTAAATTTTGCTCTTCTGTTCTGGAACCAGACCTGGAAAATATAAAAAAGCGGCATTTATTTAACTCTCGCACTTAGAACGGCATTATTTACCGAAATACTACCTAAAAATACGTCATTTGAAAAATTGCGCCCCATTTTGGGAAATAAAATAGGATTTGACTGTGGACAAGTTGAACGGCCGTCAGTCAGCGAAAATAGAGTCTGAAGTCGAGACGGGTGAGACATGGTCGATACCTTTTGATAAAACTTTTAGACCAAACGGTTCACATGGGGAACCGTTCTAGAGTAAATTTTTATGAGATATTAATAAAAGAAGTAATTTTTATATCACACATAATTAACAAAAACATTTTTCATTTGATACCAGCGAGGGTACGAGGCTTTTGGTCTGATATTTGTATAACCAAAGTTTTATGTCTAACTTAAACTGTTGATAACTTTCCAAAAAGTTAGTTTACCCAGTCATAGAAAGCCAAAATATTTTGTTTAATATTATTAAAAGTCTTTATTTGTTTTTATTTGTTTATTAACAGAATAAACAAATAATTACTAATAATACTACATTAAGTCTATCGAATACAAACAAACCAGCATACATTTCCATACCATTTATCCAAGGTCTATCACATAAATTAAACACATTTCTCTTGTCCGATAACTTCAAAATAGCTTTCAAAAATTATAAAACAATTCAAACACTTTTTTCCAAAATTAAAGATCCCACACCAATAACAAATAAATCTGACGTAATCTACAAGATCAACTGTTTAAACTGTCCGGCAACTTACATCGGTCTTACATCCCAATATCTGGACAAGAGAGTAAAGCAACATATCTATGATTGCAAAAAACCTAAGCAAAATCCTACAGCACTCGCTACCCACCATCTTGAACACCAACACAATTTCGACTTCAAAAATCCAAAAGTATTACACACAGAACAAAACAAACATAAACGTAATTTCTTAGAAATGGTTTATATCAACAGAGATAAACACAGCATCAATTACAGAACAGATACATGTAAACTCAGTCGCAGCTACGCCAATATCATTAATCAAATTCATTACAGATAACATTCCTATATCATCACATTACCTTCCACACATGAAATATTTTTCACATAATCTAATTTCCCAACAATTCAGCTTTCCTTTTCCTATTTATCCCTTTCTATATAATCCTGAAAGGATAATCTGACCGAGCCATTACGAACACATTTTTTCCCTTCGTCGGCTCTTTTCACCTCAAAGAAGCCGACGCCTTACACAAAAATGTATTTTCTATACCGACATCCTTCGCCACCCCTTCAAAATCCAACGTATATGTATAAACACAAAATAGCAAAATCTCACTGGCACTCTCGACACGACACGCAAGAATGGCACAATTACACAGAAGACAAACACTTTGAGTGAGTAGAAATACATTGATTGAATATATAAAAAATATATTTTGCATTGTATAAATTCACTTTTCCACATCCATAATGTAATTGTTATATGTAAACAATGTTTGTAAATCCCAGGCCCTGAGGATGATCTCAATAAAGCTCGAAACGTGGCACGATAAAGAAAATGTTTTTCTGAAACCTACATCACACCAGACCGCATCTCATGATTTATGAATAATTAGTGAAGAAGATTATTCAGAGATCGTGATTAGTGAAGTAGCAAACTATTGGAATTAACAACGAAACAAACGAAATGCGTTTTTTCAAACTTTTTGCCACATTTTGTCATTTTTTGACCAATATAAAATCCGATTGCACCATTGTTTTCATCGTAAAATATTCTTTAAAATGATGTGTCAGGGTGCAAAGGGTCGTATTTGAAATTTTGAAGTTGAACTGGGCCTGTGCTACCCTGTATTATTTTTATCCAAAGAAGGTAGAAATTTGGAACTAGACTAAAAAATATTAACATCTATTTTTTGATAGCCTCATTGGTTTAAGAGAAATTCAGCCAGGCGCTCCAAAAAGGACACCCTGTACACAATACGTGTTATTAAATAATAATGTAAACTGATTTACGTGGCATTTGTATCGCGTCAGATGTGTTGGGCTGTGATGAGTTTTCACAATAAAATCATGTGTACATTCATTACTGATTTCCGTATCTCCACAACGTATAATATTCCTTGATTACACAATAAAAATTAATATACTCACGTATAAATGGGTTCCTCTGAAGAGTGCCCTTAACACTTTACGTTTTATCACCATAATTCTTTGTAATAACAAAAAATTTTGAGTGAAGGAATCTGTGGATTGAAACTGTAAAAATCCTTTTTCAAAAGACGGGGTATGCATGCAAGTATGAAATGAATATATTACAGTGCGATTAAAATAACAGTCATGGATGTGAACACCTTCTGTTATTTTCATCACCACAGACAGGGCTAGTGTCAGGTTCTACTAGGTTAATACCTTCTTCGACCGACTTTAATAATATAAATAAATAAAATCGTATACCATACGTTGAGCTCCGGAGAGTAACATACTGAATGGTTAAGACGATAAAAACAAAACATGTGCCATGCAGATAGCCGAAGACAACGGTTAGCAGAAGTGCTCCACACATTTAGGGAGAAGTGCAGATAAACCGTTCCCCTTGAATACTGTTTAATAGTTCACAGGTCTGATTTAATCGTGGGTCAAGTCTATCAAATATGTACCCGTTGTTGAGTTGGGATCTGTGGAAACGGATGGGAATGGAAATTAGTCCGGATGCGTAATTATCATCACGATGCACGGCTTAACCGCGGTTCAAATAATGGGATAAACGCTGAAATAAGCTCTATAAAACATGTGATTCGACGTTTTTTTTTAGTTAGCTTTTTCCAACAACCACAAACCGTATGAACGATTTTGGCGGCTTTCCAAGTGTCCCATTTTGGAAACAAACCGTTTGTTGGGTCCGCCGTCTTCCTCGCCTTCTTCAATATCGGTGTAAATCAGGTTTATCGGGTTTATTGTATCAACTATCTCATGAGGCCAATTATTTTCGAAATTCCTTACAACATACCTCCTATTATTTAAGCTCAGCAGTTTATATTTGAAATGAAAAGCAGCAACAAGTTTGGTACCTATCCACTTGAGAGTATTTTAATCTGGAGAGCTGTTCTCGCCAGTAGACATGCCTCTGAGAGTGCTACGAAAGCGTGGGCCGACTCTCGGAGTGCTGACATGTCTAGGTTTGATAGTCGACACGCTTTTACTCCACTCTCCGAAAACAGCACGGAGAAAAAAAAAGTGATTTCGTATACTGAATGTACACGTGGCGAGTTATCTTTAAGCAAGTCCGCGAAATTGTGAAAGAATTGGGAGAAAAACGAAATAGAAAAACTAATTGAGTTATACGAAGTGAACATACCTTTATTACGGGAGGTAACATCGACTAATAAAGACATCCATACTAAAAGTAAAACATACGAAGAACTGGTGGACAGCTGGGGTGTTCGGGTGAGAGGAGCAAAGGAAAATGCATAAATATAATTTAATTATGTACAAAAATTATAAGTATATAAATTTTAATTTTTTAATTTTTCGGACTTTTACCCAAGGGTCTATACGTCACGGGAGTTCACCTACCCCGTTATGTGGCTAGGTCGCTAATGCCCCCTTAAGTTATCTTAATCCAGAGGGTGACGCTGTTTTCACCATCAGTCCCCTTAAAACTCACATTAATATATACATGCACTCAAACACGTAACAACAAAAACATAAGACAAATCTATATTTAATATACATAAAGATAAACAAACACCACGTCCTCCAAAAAGCTGAACAGGTACCCAAAAATTTATATATTTATTTAATTATTAATTNAAAGACATTATAATTTTACAATGTATATAACATAATACGTATCCTTTGAATACATAAATATAATTTGTGTTTTTTTCTTTTCCGTGTGATTTGCTTTAACAAAAAAACAAAAAATTATAATTTAAAAAAGACAATAAGTCTTAAAAAAATCCACGTTTCATAATAAAAATTATAAATGCATAAATATAATTTTCTCGTCTTCCAGCTATAATTCTCGAGTAAGTGTATGCTTGCACCACTACTCACTTTCCGTCTCAGACATTTTAATCTTACGTAAGTTTTTACCTAAACATATTGTCATATTGTACAACGTTAATCTTCAAAAGATGGCAGATTTCCCAAATGTGTTCCGTCAAAAATGGGCCCATGTTTGTCGCACAAATTTGAAAAACAAACCGGTTTTTTTACTTTTTTATTATTAAGGATTATGACCTAAAACGAACATTCACGCGATACTTCGCTCGGCACACTTTATTTGTGAGGTTTTCAATCTAATCAATTTGTTTTTCGTTAAGACTTAAAGACGTCAGACTAAAACTGTAGAATTTAAAATTAAGTCTCTTGAAAAATATAGCTTTTACATTATAGTTACTTTTCAGGAACTTACAACCATTCTGAAAAAACACCTAAAAATATCTTAAAACAAGCGAACTACCAAGAAGAAAGAAGAGAAAAATAAATTATAGTTACTTTAAAAAGTTTTGTTTATACTAGTTTTTGGAGTGAAAATGTTAATTTAACTAAATAGGATAATATTAGCTATTTAATGATTTTTTGTCCTACTCATTTCGTTTTCATTGTTTGGTAAATATTTAAACACGCTACTGTTAATTTCATTTTGTAAAACGTTTGCTCTAATAGGTTTGTCGCTGGAAAAAAAGCAGTTTTATCTTTACATTGCATTTATAAGTTGTTATTATAAATATTTTATCTTAAACAAAGTTAACTAATCTTAGGTAGCCTGAACCGCTATAAGAAGAATGTTCTTATTGAAATAAGTTTAACAGCATAAGACAATAAGCAGTACGTTATGATATGTTTTATATTTTTCTCAGGCTGTTGTCGTAAATCTTTCTTTTTTATCTATTTACACTCTTTCGATTAATCTCAGGAATATTATTTATTCCACTCCGCGGGATTTCGTTATTGTTTGATATTGCATTTTGAGACAAGACTTGAAAAACAGGGTAAAGATCGCTTC